ATGTATATTGACCTTTCGCAGAAGATAAAGATCTATCGACACGTTCCGAGTACTCGGATCGCGCGCGTCAGGTTAGAAATAAACGTGTCAAACGCGTCGCGGTCGATCGGCAAACCGTAACGCGTTGAGAATTGAATGTTTGGCTGCGATGCTGATGCTGGTGTCAAGCGAAACTAAAACGGCGTTATCGAAACGAACGGGGGCGAGCGGCGAGCGGCGCGCGGCGCGATATCCGCGACGTTATCAAAGTTTCTCTCGCGATTGTGACAATGCATGAAACGATAAAACGCGCGCCGGGGCTGGCGGATGCATGCTCCGATTCGAGACCTGTTTACATGCCCGTATTACATCGATCTTTTTCCGCAGAGTTTACGCGTGTAACACACGAAGGGGCAAGCGCGCAACACGCCACACGTATTAACGACAGAAGTTATCGCGTTGCGCGTTCAAACGATTTCTCTTCCTGGCACGTCGTGCCACGCTGAAAGCACGGATGTCGCCGCTAGATTGTTCACCTGTGAAACCGATAAAAAGAGGCGGATAAAAAAGAAGGAAGAACAACGAAGGAGGAAATTTCCTTTTCCCTCTCTTTTATTTTATCCGCACATGTTGGCTGGCTGGCTGGCTGGCTAGTCGTAAATTTCGCGTCGAGCTTCGTTTTTCGGCTTTTGCGAGTGACTCGCCGCGCCGCGCCACGTCGAAAATTTCGACGATCGATCGTTCCGCGCGCCGCAAGAAAGAGGCGGTTCGTGCGGTATAAATGTTCAAGTTACCATTCGAAGCACGCCGTTTTGAAAGTCAAACGAGCACGCTCGAAAGTTCGTTGAACCCCCTCCCGTTCGTTCCACGCTAAACCCGTTTTCACGACCGCGTTGCGAGGGATTTAGTAACGAATATCTCTCGCTTAATGGTTCTTATATCACTGATTACGCCGGCTGTGGACCGCTTTTGCCCCGTTGGTAATCGAAGTTCGGGCTTTCCGCCAATTCTACCGACTCCCTTCGCTGAACGTAATTCTTCTGGCACTGGAGGCGGCGGTCGCGCGCCAGAGCTCTCGTCTCTTCAGCATTTTCCCGGTCCAATGAAACTTAATAAGGGACGAATCGTCTTTTTCAGCATCGTGCCCTATTTAAACACGTGTTAAAATACCTGTTACCTACAAAGAAGATCGATCTTACGCGAACCTCATCAGACTTAATTTATGCCGCTTAACCACCCTGATCGAATAGTTACGCGAACTCAAACGAGCTCGGCTATTATTGAATGATCAACCATCGCTTATGTTGAAATCGCTTTCCTGTATGATCATCTTACCTTTGCAACAATTGTGCACCGAGGGCAGAATTTGATGAGAGTTCCTGTCCCTTAGGTTTAGCATGATACATAAGATTTATAAAACTCAAGAGAATTCATTTGGTGAAGTCTGTGGGAGCATTGGTGCAGAGTCATATGGCACTGTGATTTCTGAAATTTTTAAACCGGATTCCGACACTGTGCACGCGTTCGATTAGCAAACAAAGGGTTGGGAAATCGCGGCGCACGGACCGCGTATGCAACGTGATCGCGGTCGTACGAGCGGAAAACTCGAGTGCCACCAGCCATTAAGGACGGATAATGCCCGGAGGGTTTTTGAAAAATCTGGCAACGATTGTCACGGTCGACTCGTGCCAGATTCTCTCTTCAGCGGTGTGGATACTCGAGCGTGTGGAGAGCAGGAATCAATAGGCCTGGTATTGTAGCATGGATTTGTAAGCCGCCGGCGGAAACCTTACGTATTCAACAGTGAGTCACACTTCCAGGAACG